ACACAGGCCTTAAGTAATTAAGTAATTCATTGAAACATCTCTAGATTTGGGCCCCAAACATCAACCTACTGTTAAGACCTGCAGTCTTAATTCAGTTTTGCCACTTCATTCTATATTTTGACCCACATTTGGAGTAATCAATCTTATATTCCACATAGAGTCATGTTATTTTAAAACTAAAAGGACCTCATATTACTTTGTCCAGCTTTTTCATCTTACCAATGAGGAAACATGTCTAGAAAAAGTTAAAAAAAAAAATCTCATAGTTATTTAGGGGCACAGCTAAGACTAGATCCATTCTGTTAAGTAGTAATGTGAAATGGACCAACTACATAACAGAATGGTATGCTAATACCAGTATTACAGCCACAGAAGGACAAGTGGGGATCAAAGAGCAATGCACCAAGTAATCAGCCGAGGAAGACAGGCTAGCGGTTAACAGGAACGGACAAAACTGAGGCCCTGAAAACAAGCAGTGATAATTCAGAGGCCATTCAAGAACAACACAAAACAACGCCTCTCAAACATGAGTGTGCGAGGGATAAACTGGGAGCTTCTTAGAGATTCATCTTCCTGGCTCAGTAGTTCTGGGGTGGAGCCAGGGAAGGGTCATTTTTTTAAAAAAATCTTCAGCCAGAGATATTTTTATTATTATTATTATTATTGATTTGAGAGAGAGAGGAAGAGAGCAAGAGAATAAGAGACATTGATGTGCCCTGACTGGGAATCGAACCACAGCCTTTTGGTGCAGGGGCAATGCCCAAACAACTGAGCCACACCAGAAAGGGCCAAAGTAGTTTTTAATCAGATCAGTAATTCAGTTGCTTTCTTTAAGGAGCTCAAGGTTGTAAGAAGACAAAAGGATTTCCCCTGTGGATTTGGAGTTATGCCAGACATCCTATATAATAAAAGGCTAATATGCAAATCAAATGAACAGCAGAACAACTGGTGGCTATGACACACACTGACCACCAGGGGGCAGACGCTCGATGCAGGATCTTCCCCCTGGTGGTCAGTGTGCTCCCACAGGGGGAGCACTGCTCAGCCAGAAACTGGGCTCACAGCTGGTGAATGCAGCAGCAGTGGCGATAGCTTCTCCTGCCTCTGCAGCGGCACTAAGGATGTCTAACTGTGACAATGCTGGCTTAGGCTGAAAGGCACTAATCTGTCAGTTCAATATCCCCCGAGGGGTCCCCGGCTATGAGAGGGCACAGGCCAGGCTGAGGGACCACCCCTGAGTGCATGACTTTCATGCACCGGGCCTCTAGTTTTAAATAAGTGATGTCTCAATTCCATAATGTCTTTGTACTGAACTATCTTGGATGTTGGGATCTTCCCCACTTCTGGTGACAGAAGTTAGACCATCCATTAAATTGGATGGAGACTTGGAATCCAGAAGGCAGAGTGTTTGCACTTTACACCAACGAATTTCAACCCAGTGTGGCCCCATAATTTTTAAAACATGCAATACTTGACTATTTAGTTAGGGCGCTGACCTCTTTCCCTTAGATTGTCAAATTAAAAAATGACAACACCCAACACAACGATAGCCATCCGGTGTGAATGAATTAAAATTATACCTATTTTTTGTTGGATTGGCAAAATAAATTATATATATATATATATATATATATATTAGTATGCTGCAGAATTTTAGCAATTACTTTATGTGTGCCATGAGATGAAAAAAAGGTTAAAAGTCACTGCTCTGCACTCAATGAACCGTCATTGAGTGCCAGGAGTTAGAATTATGAAAACATTTCTCTTTGTCCCTTAAGAATTCCAGAATCTACGAGAGGAAATTAGTCGATGTTGAATAGTAATAAAGCAGTCATTCCATGAGTGGCTTCCTATTTCTTTGTCCCTTGTAGCAGTCTAAGCATTATGGATAGAGCAGTACACGCGGCTATAGCAGGTCTTAAATATGCACTGTTGGGATTATTATTTTCCCAGCAAACCAGTCCTGGCAGAATATCCCACTGAGGTCTCCCAGCACATTAATACATCAGGTCGATGTCCTTGAAAGATAGCAGCGGCTGCTGGAGAGGCAAGAAGCTGAGCTGAGGGGGACTTGCACACCCACCCGCGGTGGTGACTTACTGCCTCTTTCACCCGAAGCAAGCGACTTTACCAGCCCTGTGCCCCGCATTTCTCATTTGTGAGCTGGCGCGATGATTGAGATCCTGCCTCCCTCGTGACAGTCAGCGTGATGCCACGAGATAATGAATGCACGCGTTCTGAACAGGTCAATGCAATTTCCGAGCTAGTCTTCATTAGTTTGCCACCAAGTTTGTGTCACATGTCATACCTTTCTTTATATAACTACTCAGAGGCTTAAATTTTAAAAAGAAAAGCAGGAGGGGGGAGGGGGGAGGGTACTTGGTACGACTGCGTTCATTTGCATTCAAGTTTGTCTCCATCATTTGCATCTCCGTGTGCTAACCTCTCTGGTAGGGAAGATAGGTTGTGTTGCCTAATGTACCCGTTGTGCCATGTTAGCATTCCAGCGTTTATTTACCCAGAAACATGACGTAAGGCCCGCAAGCTTTTCGCAGCTGGCTGGTGAATCATGTTCGGCGTTCATGCAGCACTTGCTGGCACACGGCAAAGGAACACTCATGCACAGCACCTGCCCCTGTCACTCCCTCCTCTTCTAATAAAGTGCATCTGTTTTGGTGACTGAACGAAAACACACTGAGTGGAGAATGGCTGGGCGTGGAGTAATGTAATCAGGGCAGGGATACAGTATCGAGGATAGAAGATGGCTTGGTAGCAGCTTATTGAAACCGAAGCCAACTGAAAAACGCCCCGAAGCACAGTCCCTCTTACAATCACAGAGGGTCACACTCCTGGGATATATGTGGCCAGGTGCATGTCCCCATTCCACATTTTAAGGGGACGAGATGTCCATGAGCTCCCTTCTGAACTGCTACGAACGGTTTATGTGGCCTTTCCCCACTAGAATCACTGGAACATTTTGTCAGGGACTATAAAGTTTTAAGGAAGCTCAAACCAAAGCTCAGAGCACCATGAGCAGTGCTCTTTAGGACTGGCAGTGGTGGCTGTGAGGCATCCCGAGGAAGTGATTAAGTGGAAATACCCTACTGCTAAAAGCAAACCAGCAGGGAGACTGACATTTGCATTTTGTTATTTCACAGTTCTCGCGCCGCCCTGTATTTAAGAAAAATTTTTTTTCTTTGAATATCCACTAGTAGATAGTTTTGTGTTTTATGTAAAAGAGGAGAAATCGAACATGTTCAGGGTGCTGATCTCCCTTGAATCTCAGAGTGTTGTGTGTGGGGGGGGGGGAGGGGGAGAGGGGTGTTGGGGGAGGTGATCTGTAGGAGGATGCAGAATGTTTGGAAAGCCAAGTTGAGTCGAAACAAAAATATCGCTGTACGTTATGGGTCTCATCATTGTTATTATTATTTTGCTTATTTTAACGATTCACCCCGTCAGCATTCTTAAAGCCATCTCTTGCTGGCAAAAGAATCCCTATCCAAGATGGCAAATCGGAACTTCAATAAAGCAGCGTCTTTCCTTCCATGTTTAGTCCTGTTCCTGTTCCCAAACTTCAGCCAAGTCATTTTCACCACGTGTGCACATTTCTTCTATGAAACAAAATCTGTGATACCTGACACTTTACTAACAGGTGTTCTGGGAATAATCCGTCTCAAAAATAACCCTAAATATAGCACACAAGTTCAAGGGTTTTGAATGTTAATTATGACTTTAAAGCACCAATCTAACGAATGCTTCCCATCGAAGCCATTTATTGTTAGAAAACCTGGTGATAAAGGATACATATCCTACAGCTCCGTCATCGTGGTTTAAATATATGACTCATATTAGCATTTTTACATATTAGCATTTTTGCCATATGGCTGAAAGGGTAGAGAATGTATGTGTAGGGGAACAAGTCGGTAACATTTTGGCCATCTGGTAAATAAATATGCCAGTAGCAGGAACTGTCATGTTTATTTAGTTATAGGGAGGCAACCTTCACTCTGAAATAACCTCTAATACAGTAAAGTAGAACTGAGCGTATATTTCTCAAATAATTTTGATCTAAGTCACTGCACATTTTACAGCTCTTAATCTGTGACTTCAATTACCAGATGGTGGCTTGTGTATTTATTAGGGCTCCTTAAAGTGCCTAATTTAAACCATCTTTTGGAGGAGGCTACAGGGTGGGATCCGGCATACAGGCTCGAGTGCTGATGTTCTGCTCTGTAACTGACCTCTGTGTGGTCTGGGATAAATTGCTTAGCCTCTCTGAGCCTCAAATTCTTCATCTTTAAGGCGTGAATAACATTGTCACACAGAGTCTCTCAAGCATGTAGGAAGCTTGTTCTAAATACCAGCTTTGTAGCCCGCCCTCCAGAGAAGATCCTGAGTCAGCATGTCTTGGAAACAGACTATGAATCTGCACTTTCAATCACTTTCCCAAGTGATTCCAAGGTACACGGAACTACTGTTATGGAAACTGGATGACTACAGCACCTAGGGCCCTTGAAGAATCTGTAGTTAGCTAATCCTATCAAATACCAAAGTGTCTGTTGATAATTTTTTATTATTAATAAGCATAACTCTAAAAACTAATTTGCATCTCCTAGAAATTTAACACTTGACAGCACTGGTGCTTAAAATACTCCAACTTTAGGGAAAATAGGAGCTCATCTTGGATAATATTGGTGATTTATTAAATACGTGTCTCAGTTCTCCTTGTTTAACTAGATCCTTTTTTTCTTCTTCTTACATAGGAAACCACACAGTATTCGTGGTCTAGATCTACATCAGGAGCCCAGATACACTTAGCGAAGCCAGCATGGGATTCTTTGTTTTTCAAGATTCGTACACACCAAACCCTTCACCACCACAGCTCCAGTGACCAGGCTTTCTCTGGTTCTGTGAGGACTTAGCGAAACTCAGATGATGGAAAAGCAAAGGACTTAATTACTCATCTCGCTATCACCTCACATCCACGGGAAAGTACAGCCATGGAGAGAAATTCCACTGTATGGAAGAACCTAATAGATGAACACCCCATCTGCACAGGCTGGAAGCAAGAGGCCGAGGGAGCCATCTATCATCTCGCCAGTATTTTATTTGTAGTAGGTTTTATGGGCGGCAGTGGCTTCTTCGGACTCCTTTATGTCTTCAGTTTGCTGGGGCTGGGTTTCTTCTGCACTGCCGTCTGGGCTTGGGTAGATATCTGTGCCGCCGATATCTTCTCCTGGCATTTTGTGCTCTTCATCATCTGCTTCATGCAGTTTGTCCACATTGCGTATCAAGTGCGCAGCATAACCTTCGCCCAAGAATTCCAGCTGATGTACAGCTCCATCTTCCAGCCTCTGGGGACCCCTGTGCCCGTCTTCAGAACGATTGCTCTGAGCTCCGAAGTGGTCACTTTGGAGAAGGAGCACTGCTATGCCATGCAGGGGAAAACCTCCATTGACAGGCTCTCTCTGCTGGTTTCAGGAAGGTTTGTACTCTTGGTGTTTGAATGTCTTTCTTCTACAGTCATTACTAGCTTGTCTTCCTTTCTGCTCTATTTCCTATCTCAGCACAGCATAGTCCTGGGTGGCATTTCACACCCGGAGGCATGAGAAAGCCCTGACACATGAGTCATGGCCATAGGCCATAGCATTTAGAATACATGGTATTATTTACCTGGAGCAAGAAGCAATATAAAGCCTCAATCATTCTTCTTGGAAATCAAATGTATGAATTGAGTTATGCGGATATGCTATGTATTTCATTTCCAAGATCATTACTGAAAGTCAAGACGAGTACTGAATTAATACAATACTTCTGTTGCCATGAAAAGTATTTTATTTTATTTTATTTTTTAATATATTTTATTGATTTGTTACAGAGAGGAAGGGAGAGGGATAGAGAGTTAGAAACATCGATGAGAGAGAAACATCGATCAGCTGCCTCTTGCACACCCCAAACTGGGGATGTGCCAGCAACTAATGTACATGCCCTTAACTGGAATGGAACCTGGGAGCTTTGTCCACAGACCGACACTCTACCACTGAGCCAAACCAGCTTCAGCGCCATGCAAAGTATTTTAAATAGACTCTCATAGGGCATTCTTTTAAGTAATAGTGATCATTGAATTTTAGAATAATTCGTTTTATAATGATCAACTCTTTCAGTAATTTCTAGCAATTGCTAAAAGTGAGGTGGGCATGCCTCATTATATATGTATATATACACATATCCTATACAATCCTATATAATAAAAAGCTAATATGCAAATTGTCCCCTCCGGAGTTAGCCCAACCAGAAATTCACTGCTCACTATGATATGCACTGACTACTAGGGGGCAGTGGAGAACAAAGGAAGACCCCAGCCAGCAGCTGGGGGAAGGAAGGCCCTGATAGGCCCTGAATCACCAACAACCAGGCCTAGGGACTCTACCTGTGCATGAATTTTGTGCACTGGGGCTTTAGTATATACATATACATATACATATACATATACATATACATATACATATACATATACATATACATATACATATACATATACATATACATATACATATACATATACAGGACACAGACACAGACACACAAACACACTGTTGACCTTTGTACAACACAGGGATAGAGAATCAATTGGAAGAAATATTTGACTCTGCTAATCCCAACAGAGTCAAAATCCACATATAACTTTTGATCCCCATGAAGCATTACTAATAGCCTACTGTTTGGCCAGAAGCCTTACCCATCTCTTAAACCAGAGGTGGGGAACATCCAGCCTGCAGGCCATATAAGGCCCTCGAAATCATTTGGTCTGGCTCTGCCAAGGCATTAGGGGTGAATTAATTAAATGTTTGACCAAATTGGCTGAAACCAGTTTGACTCAGTGGATAGAGCATCAGCCTGTGGACTGAAAGGTCCCGGGTTCGATTACGGTCAAGGGCATGTACCTTGGTTGCGGGAACATCCCCAGTAGGGGGTGTGCAAGAGGCAACTGATCGATGATTCTCTCTCATCAATGTTTCTAACTTTCTATCCCTCTCTCTTCCTCTCTGTAAAAAAAAAAACCAATAAAATATATTTTAAAAAATAAAAATAAAAAATAAAATAAATGTTTGACCAAATAGAAGACTAATTTTTAAGTTGATAATTTTGTATGGCCCATGAATAATGATATAAATATCCAAATGGTCCTTGGCAGAAAAAAGGTTCCTCACCCTTGAGTCCTAAACAGTCAATTAACACATATTTTGCATATTATATGTATTATATATTGTATTCTTATCAAAAAGTAAGCTAGAGAAAAGAAAAATGCTATTAAGAAAGCTATAAAAAAGAAAAAATACATTTAACAGTATTTATTGGAAAAAATGACATGTAAGTGGGTCTGCATAGTTCTAATATTGTTCAAGAGTATATATATATTAAATGTTTGACCAAATTGGCTGAAACCAGTTTGACTCAGTGGAGTCAATGCAGGAGTTTATATATATATATAACAGAAAGTTTGGAAGAGGAAACAATATGATTCTGTTTTTTTAAAAGGTTAAGTATTCAATTTTCAGAGGTACCCCTTTATGTTCTTCAGCGTACTATTTCATTTAAAATCTGACTGAGTGCACTGAAACTTTTTATGGAAGTATAATATGCACGCAGAGATGAGCACATATCATAAATGTACAGCTTGATGAGTTGTTTGATGGATTTTGCTCAATATTCCAGAACCCTAACTGTGTGAGGAACATCAGTACATGAATCTTACAGGAGACTTGCCACCTATTGTAATGCAGGAGTTTAATCTTTGCCCTTCAAAATTTTAATAGCCAAAAAGGTCCTCAGAGACCTGAACCCGCCCCTCACCCCAATTATGTGCTGGCTTTCTCCTTCCTCATAAATGCTGTTCTTTGTGTCTGGGTAGGATCAGAGTGACAGTTGATGGAGAATTTCTGCATTACATTTTCCCCTTCCAGTTCCTGGATTCTCCTGAATGGGACTCACTGAGACCCACCGAGGAAGGCACTTTTCAGGTAAGAGATAACGAACGCACACAGTGAACAAGGCCTCTCCACACACAGATAAACAAACACAACAGCAGGTGGCAGAGGAATAATGTATACGTCACTTTGGATTGTACTATGCAGCATGCATGACTTTCTAAAGCTGTTTGACTCTGGACGATTAATGTCACTTTATAGGGGTCCAGCAATGAGGAGTAGAATGAGTATTGCATATGACAGAGAGGAGTCTGTGAGAATTACTCTTATCTTTTTCTTTGCTGAACTGCATAAATGGGAATGAAAATTATTTGAGACTTGATAGTACACTACACACTGCCACTGTGACCATTTAGAAAAACACCAAGAACAAAAAAAGATCTGCCCTTATTACAAAGTAAGTTGAAATTTTTGAAATTTAAGATGCTGATGGATTGCAGTTGTTTCTAGCAACAAAAATCTAAACTTCCTGTCCCTGCTCTGCTGCCAGGTCTGGGAGTTTTGAAAGATAATCAGTTTAGGAGGTTCTATCTTACCTAATAAAAGAGCAATATGCAAATTAACCATCACTCTGCTCAAGCCACACCCACCAACCAATCATAGCAAGTATGCAAATTAACCCCAATCAAGATGGCTTCAACCACAGAGAGCATTTGAGAGGCTCAGGTTTCAATAGGGGAAGCCAAGCTTTCCACACATCCTGGCTGGCCTAGGCCTCCACTCAAGGTTACGAAGTTTCAATTATAGAAGGTAAATCCCAAGAATAATGGAGCAGCCAGGAATAACAGAGCTGGAAAGAACAGGCTTAGGGTTGCTCCCGGCAATGGAGGAAGCAAAGCTTTCCACCTCCCCTGGCTGGCCTAGCCCTCCACTCCAGGCTACAAAGTTTCAATTATAAAAGATACATAAAACCAAACAGAAATGGCGGCAGCCACAGAGTGCGTAGGGGGTTTGGCTCTGCTCCAGGCTACAAAGTTTCAATTGTAGAAGATAAATAAATTCCAGGTACCAGGGCCTCCGCTTGGATTGCTGGGGGTGTGTGGCTGGCCTGCAAACCACCACAGGCCCCTCACCCAGGTCGACCCATGCCCCACCCTGATCCAAGACACCCTTCAGGGCAAACCAGCTGGTCCACCAATACACCAGGCCTCTATCCTATCTAATAAAAGAGTAATATGCAGATTGACCATCATCCAACACACAAGATCAAGATAGCTGCCCCCATGTGGTCAAAGATCCTGCCCCCATGTGGTCACAAGATGGCCAGCAGGGGAGGGCAATTGGGAGGCACAAGGTCTGCAAGGGAGGGTAGTCAGGGGTGGGCAGACCAGCAGAGGAGGGAAGTTGGGGGCAAACAGGCTGGCAGGGAAGCAATTAGACATCAACCAGGCTGGCAGGGCAGTGGTTAGGGAGTGATCAGGCTGGCAGGCAGAAGCGGTTAGGGGCTATCAGGCAGGCAGGCAGGCAGGCAGGCAGGTAGCAGTTGGAAGCCAGCAATCCTGGATTGTGAGAGGATGTCCAACTAAACGGGGTCTCAGATTGGAGAGGGTGCAGGCTCGGCTGAGGGACCCCACCCGGTGCACTAATTTCATGCACCAGGCCTCTTGTCTATTATAGTATATACTGTTTTCCTGTGATTGATACAGTTAACATACATGTGTGTGTCTAAAAATACAAGTCCAGCCTGGACCGGTTTGGCTCAATGGATAGAGCGTTGGCTTGGGGACTGAAGGGTCCCGGGTTCGATTCCGGTCAAGGGCATGTACCTTGGTTGCGGGCATATCCCCAGTAGGGGGTGTGCAAGAGGCAGCTGATCAATGACTCTCTCATCGATATTTCTAACTCTCTATCTCTCTCCCTTCCTCTCTGTAAAAAATCAATAAAATATATATATTTTTTTAAAAAATACAAGTCCATATGCATATGTAGGATAGGTAAATAAATTCTGCTTTGTACTATTGAAACTGGCTTAGGGTTAAATGTCTACAGTCTTCAGGACTGACTGGAGATATTTCTCTAACATTGGCCGACTTTAATTTTTAGTATAAGTAGCTCTCGCTTCAATAAAAAGCAAAACATAGATATCTGAACGTAGAAAACAGATAAATTGGAGATGGGCACAATATTGTGACTATTCATGTTATAAATTATATATAGTAATACAGTTTCTGTTCTCTTTTCCTATTTTAACAGTATGTTTTGGGTTGGTGGGCTTTTTTAACCTAAAAACAAAACAAAACAAAAAACAGAATGGACATTTATTTAAAATGTGGGGCACAAAAAATGTGACAGAACTTTTCTTGCTCCCTAATCTTTGTTGATACATGGTTTTATTGTTTTTAGGTAACCCTCACAGCAGAAACCGATTGTCGGTATGTGTCATGGAGGAGAAAGAAATTATATTTGCTCTTCGCTCAATATCGTTACATCTCCCGCCTGTTTTCAGTTTTAATTGGCAGTGACATTGCAGATAAACTCTATGCCTTGAATGACAGGGTATACATAGGAGGAAGATACCACTACGATATACGGTTACCCAACTTCTATCAACTTGCAGGTTCTGAAAAGCCCAGATCACCCCTGCTAGGACATTTTCGAAATATCAGACAACACTGTGATAAATGACATTGAAGTCTGAAGTTTTATAATTATATTTAAAAAAAAAAAAGACTCAATTCATCATTCCCCAAATGAAATAGCAAAATACAGAAAATTGAGATCATTAATATTTTTTATAACTCAAACTCAGAGGCAAGATGCCATTGCCAGCTGCTTTATTCATCTCAACTTCTGCATTGTGAATAAATTGTACTGGTTTTTCTGTATTTCTCATTTGAACAAATTGGGGTGCGGAGGGGCGGACGGGGAGATGAATATGGGAAGTTTGCCCTTTCCTGCTTCAGAACTGGGAGAATGAAATTCTGCTTTCTCCAATATTTCCTCCAATTGATTCAAACCTGTGGTCTGGCCCTATGGAGTTCAGCACTGCTTCTCTAAGCGCCGACGGTAAGTACTCTCAGCAGGAGGAGGATCATGGGGAAACATCTGAGTGTTCCCGGAATTCACTGTTTGCTACAACCTCTGGTGAAAGGAGATGCATTCTTGTGGTAGGCAGCGATTATTTCTTTTAGATGGGAAGTTACTTAATATGCCTAAGCAGTAGAACAAATGTGAGAGGCGATAATATTCCCATCGTGAGGGCTATTCAGTAGCTACACTTCATTCATCATCTTAATCTTCATCATAACATTTTAAACGAGGCATTTCATGGAAAACAAAAAATGCATAGTAATTACTGTGTAAAAAAAAGAACACCCATGAACAAATAGTGGAAATGGTGCACAGCACTTTTATGTCCTACGTTCAGCTGAAAGGACCTGTGTGTGTGTGTCGATGGGACCGTGAGGAACTCAGAGTGAATGCTCCACCCACCGAACAAATAAGGGAGCTTAATAAAGAAGAGCTCAAGAAAGGACCGGTCCTCGGTCAGAAATCTGATCCCAATTTTTAGAAAACAGTTGTTGCTGTTTTTAACATCACACGCAAGCTATTTCCTTCGGGGGAAAGATATATCATCAGACATTTAATAAATGTGAATTGAGCACCTACCGTGGTTCCAGGTGCTGATCTGGGCAGTGGGAATACATCAAGTAACTAACAAAGGTCCCATTCCTCACAGAGTTTTTACATTCTGGGCATGGAAGACAGATAATGAAATTAGTAATAATTAAAAAAAAAAAAAAAACAACAACACCTGGAGTTAGAGAGTGCCGTTGAAAGGTAAATCAGGGAAGGCGGGTAGGAAAGTACAGTGCAATTTAATAGGGTGATCAAGGAAGGCCTGAGTGAGAAAGTAATGTTTGAACAACACCTGGGAGAGGCAAAGGAACAATCCCTGCAGATATCGGGGGAAAGAGCAATCTGGGCAGAAAGGAGAGCACCTGAGAAGGCCGTTAGGTCTCAGCAGGAGCAGCTGGAAGGCCAACCTGGCTAGAGCAGAACCAGTGCTAGGGAGAGAAGGCAAAGAGTGGCTGGGTGGGGTCTAATAAGTCAAGGTGTGATATGCCAACTAGACCCTGAAGTACATAGATGAGTCTACGGTTCAAGAGAAAGATCTGGTCTAGAGAGAAAAGCTTGGGAGTATTTCAGATAGAGATGATATGTAAAGCCATGAGATAGCCAAAGAAGTGAATGTAGATTCAGAAGAAAAATGGTCCAAGGATCTTTCCTTGGGGCCCCCTGTTATTAGTTGGGGAAAAACCAACAAAGCATGAGAAGGCTAGTGAGGCAGGAAGAAAATCAGAAGTGTGGAGTCCTGGAAGCCAGGTGAAAAAAGTGTTTCAAGGAGAAGGGAGTGGTGGACTGTCTGAAATGTGGCTGACAAGTGATAGGAAGTCTGGGGATAAGCCATTGGATGGAGCAGCATGGAGGTCTTTGATGAACCTGTGGGAGCAGTTTTAGTGGAATCATTGGGGACAAAAACTTGACTGAAGTAGGTGTAGGGGAAATGAAAGGAACGAGCTTGAAAGAGCAAGTGTAAGTAAGGTTTTCAAGGAGTTTTGATGTGAAGAGAAATAGAAATGGACAGCAGCCTGCACAGGAAATAAGGTCAAGAGAGAGAACATTTTTGTTGTTGTTTTGAAGATAAGAGAAACAATGGCATCTTGGAATGCTGATGGGAATGATTCAGAAGAAAAGGGTGAATTGTTGAGTGATGATGGGACCCCATGACCTTAAACAGGAACATGGACAATCATTATTAAGGAGAGAAGGCAGAATATTTGGCAAGTGCGAGATGTTGTATAAACTTGTAAAAGTTCTGTCATAATAATGCCTTCTATTTCCTCAGTGACCTAAGCAGTCAGCAAGGACAATAAGGAAGTACTGGGATTATGCAAAGTACATTGCTTTTTTCTGTATGTTAGCATCTGCCATAAGTCATACAACAAACGTGACAAGGGCTAAGTCATTCGTCTGGATGAGCTACTGAGCTACTCAGGTTTGGCATGAACAGAGGAAATATTGGAGGGGTTTTCTGTGTCCGGGACACCATGGCCATCAAGGACGGTTATCTGCCTGGTGCAGTTTGAAGGCCTTCAGAATGCACTCGCTAGCTTGTCATGGGCTTTGCAATGACTCTCGGGGAATTCATTCCTTGGAGTCTTTGAGACTTTGTGATACTAAATATTAAAATAAAGCTCCCTAAGTATTAGCTAATAGTTTAATAGCGGTTAACTATCAGATCACTTTCTAACCATGGAAGTCAACTGAGAACAAAGCCACACAGAAATGGGATGCAGGTTTTTGGCTCAATTCATGTGGCAGACAGTGAAGACTTTATAAGTTTCCCAGAAATCTAACCACTTTTAAGATGAGAGAGGAGAGCAGTCATGACAGGATATAGGCATGCTGGAAGAGGCAGTAAAGAGATGGCTGTGAAACTTCCACACTTCTGTGTGGGGCTGGCGCCATTCCTCCATATTAACAGCTTAGAGGTAAGGTACACAAAATTAGTGCATGGAGGCGGGGAAAGGGGGAGGTCCCTTAGTGCACCCTGCACCCTCTCCAATCCGGGTCCCCTCTCACAATCTAGGACCGCTGGCTCCTAAGCACTCACCTGCCTGCCTGATCACCCCTAACCGTCTCTGCCTGCCTACTTGATGGCCTCTATCTCTACCTATCAACCTACTTGCCACTAACTGCCTCTGCCCCTGCCTGCCTGACAGCCCCTAACTGCCTCTGCCTGCTGACCTGGTCACCCCTAACTGTCCTCCCTGTCAACCTGGTCGTCACTAACTGCCCTCTGCTGCCAGTTTGGTCGCCCCTAACTGCCCTCCCCTGCTGACCTGGTCATTCCCAACCGCCTCTGCCTCAGCCCCCACTATTGTGGCTTTGTCCAAAAGGACATCAGGATGGATGTCTGGAAGACATCCAGTCTAATTAGCATATTACCCTTTTATTAGTATAGATATGCTATTATCTGTTTGCACCCAGTTTTTATAAAATAAAATAAAAAAATCAAAACCCTGTAATAACCTCTATGTATGTACTCTATATCTTTGGTTTGAAATGTCTAGCAAATCACATTTCATTATCTCAAAGTAATCAACCCAGATGGAAAGAAAAAATACTTAGATTTTGGAAAAGTACCCCTCAAGTGCAACATCACAGTGACTCAAATTTTCATTTCTATTAAAAATTGGGCTCATTTTCATCTCAGCCTATTTTTTTCCCAGACCTAAATTCCTTTGATTCATTTATTCTGTGTAAAAATGCATTAAGATGAGAACTGGTTGTTTTCTTGCCTTAAAAATGCTTCATGGCTTTGTACATAAGATCTGTATTATAAATGGAGCACTTTGTTCAAAAGATATTAAGATTCAAGGCCAAGACAATAGAGCATTAAGCCAAGGGCAGGGCTCTTGTAAGCTTGAGGCTCTTTGCAACATGGGTTGCAGGCCCATGAAGCCAGCCCAGGCCAAGGCTTGTCCCTAAGACTTGAAGTAATTAGAGTGATTGCTGTGTGCTTCTCTGTCCTAAATTTCATGGTCAAGAGAGACTAAGAAGTAGACTAAGGGGTAAAGAATACCTCCACAGGCAAGTTCCCAGGGGCTTCTTGCACATTCTTAAATTCACCTGAATATTTGAAGGCTTCATGTCCCCACAGGGGGCTGGGCCTTTGAACCTGATTTGACCTTTGTCTAAATCTGAGATGGGGCTCTGCATTCCTAGGAATTCATGGTACTGAGATTACCATGAAAAACAATATGATGCTCTCTGAACATTTATGGGGTGAAAAATTTTCTCTCTTCAACACAGGAGCAGAAGGAAATTCATTTGCTCTCTGCTCATCAGAGTAAGCTCTGGGTGGGTATCATGTTGTTATACTGCACAGAATTGACTTGGCAGAGCATTACAAAGTGAAATCCCTCAGCTAAACTGTCAAAAGCCATAAGAAAAGCATACCAGGCAGATAGTTTATAGTAGAGGCCCAGTGCATGAAAATTTGTGCACTCAGGGGTGTCCCTCAGCCTGGCCTGTGCCCTTTCACAGAATGGGAGACCTCAAGAGATGTCAGACTGATGGCTTAGGCCTGCTCTTCCACCCCTCCCTATCACTATCCCCTCTCTCTGGCACAGGCCTTGGCTCCAGGAAATGCCTGCTTGCCAGCCAGCCTCCCATCAATTGGTCGTTCAGCCTAATGTCAATTTGTATATTATGCTTTCATTATATAGGATTATTTTAGAGCAACACATTATACAACATTATGTACTTGAGACTTCTAGTTTGACCAAGGGCATAAGTGGCCTTGGAGTATACTTTCCAACTGGGTTTCATGTTCTGTTACATTGCACATGGTTATAGAAAAAATTAACCTTCAAAAATGGTGATCCCAAATTAAAATTTTCTTAGTGAAAGGCAGTTTTTACACAAACTAGAGAAATCAATGGACCCAATTAATTCCATTATTTTTCTTCATTCTACTAAAATTTAACACATAACAATAAAAGATACAAATAAATATCAAATACAAATAAGTATCATATAGACCAGTGGTCGGCAAACTCATTAGTCAACAGAGCCAAATATCAATAGTACAATGATTGAAATTTCTTTTGAGAGCC